GAACCCATCTGTGAACCCATCTGTGAATCCATATGTGAACTCATCTGTGAACCCATATGTGAACCCATTTTTGAAGCCATTTGTGAGCCCATCCGTAAACCCATCTGTAAGTCCGTCTTTGAGCCTATCTATAAACTCAGCTTTAAAACATTCGTCCAGCTCATAATGCGATCCAGGGCTTAGGCACCCACATCTGATGTATGCATGGCGCCACGATGAATGGTTTGTGGAAATCCGAGGTCATGGTTGTGAACTGAACTTTGAATGTGCCCCAGCTTGGAGTGCTTTTGAATTGAACGGGACAGTCAGCCGATTACACATTATGCCGTATTAAATCGCTAAGACGACAGTTCCACCGTCGTCTTACAGCTCAGGGAATGTCTTGGCAGTGCCTGCTACGTCAGCCGGCTGTTTTACGGCCACCGAAAAGACGCGCAGTACTAATCAGTGCTTTACCATTCTTTGAAGCTTTTCATTGTCAAATCTGAATCCTGGAAATCGTATCGCGAGATCAGTTCGTCTCGTCCGTCCCAATGAACACAGTTAAAGGCATCCTATCGGCCATCGCTGTTCCCGCGATGGCTTTTTGTAAAAGGTAACGGTAACAGGCAGGAGTGTAGTTTCTTTTTTCAGTTGGGGGGGTTTCAGCCCCCCCCCCCCGTTTTGGGCTTCAGCCACCCCATCTTTGAGAAAAAAGTGAGAAAAACCCAAGGAGAAGCTTTTTGTTGGCTTTTTGAGGGATGTGCTGGTCATTGTTTACTTTTGTTTACCCCAACACACACTTTACTACTGTTTACCTCCCCCCCCCCCCCCACACACACACACTTATTTTGCGAAACTACGCCCCCAGTCGAAAGACCTTTTGACATCTGATAAAAAATGCCTGCAAAACTTGGGAACTTTAGGCGCAAAAAATGAAGGTCAAACCAACGTAGTGACGCAAGGTAAGATGGGCTGGCGGCGCTTTAACTCGTCCGAAACAAGCTGCTGTGAAAAGGCTTCGCGAAAAGCTACAGGGGTAGGCCGCGCCGCGGTCGCACACCAACCCCATTCTCACAAGGTCAAGTCAGGTCCAAGCCCATCCCCACCGCCTGATGCGACCCGCATACATTGCAGAGGTGGCCGCCGTGCCAGGCGCGGTCGCACCCGGTCGCTTTCACCACGTCCGTGGCCGGGCTCGTCCCGCTGACCTGCGGCGGCCGCCCGGGCTCGCGCTTTGGCCACCCGAGCTGGCGCTCCGGCAGCACGGGTTGGCGCTCCGGCCGCACGGACTGGCGCCCCGGCCGCACGGGCTGGCGCTCCGGCTGCACGGGCTGGCGCCCCGGACGCGCGGGCTGGTGCCCCGGCCGCCCGGACTGGCGCTCCGGCAGCACGGGCTGGCGCTCCGGCCGCACGGGCTGGCACCCCGGCCGCATGGGCTGGCGCTCCGGCTGCACGGGCTGGTGCCCCGGCCGCATGGGCTGACGCCCCGGCGGCATGGGCTGGCGCTCCGGCTGCACGGGCCGGCGCCCCGGCCACATGGGCTGGCGCTCCGGCCGCACGGCTCACTCGGCACCAGCAGAACGGCGGCAGCGCCGGCGCCGGCAGGGACCGCTGGTCCGTGGGTGCACCCGCCCCCCCCCCCCCCCCCTCCCCCTTACCCCTACCTCTACTGTCTCGACGCTGGGCCGCGGATGTCTGGCCGAGGAGGGCCGCTGGACAGCAGCATGCCGGAATTTGAGCGGCAGGGATGTATTTGCAAGGGAGGGGACAAGTGAGCCATGATATGAATGAAGCTGCACCCTATGGTCGACACGCTCACTCAATATTATGTTACATTCCACTATGTGGCGGTGCGGCCAAGGTGGTGGGCAAGTCACCATCACACGACCTGCGTTACCATCACGCCACATGAGGATGACACCACTTTTGTATCATTTAAACGCAACCGTTGCAATGGCGGTCTGACCTAGCAGGATAGCAGGTATAGGCACGGGGGTCTTGATCACGTTGGGTCTTTCATGTCTGTGAAGTAGGTTTGCTTAACCTGTGCATAGCTTCCGATTTGCCATCGAGTTTCAGCCACCTGCACCTGTTATTTCTTTAAAATAGGTTGCCTGATTTCTGAACTTTTTCGGAGCATGGTGTCTTTGTACTCCGCGAGGCCGAAACTTATGATGGCTCGAATGCATTACGACACAAACACCCACAACTGGAGTACTAGGGGCTCCAGTGTGGTCCGTCGCCACTCCGTTGGCTCTAACGCCACTGATGTCATATAGCTGTTTTTTGTTGTGCGTGGATCTTAGGCACATGATTGAAAACCTAAGGCTGTTTGATATTCTTATAATTTAACCTTGGCGTTGGAACAGTGTTTTTAAATCAGTTTCCAAGCTCATTCTACTCCATTAGTCGCATCAGTTTCACTCAAAGCTGCTTCTATCGGTTGTCTTCACGGCACGTCGTCTGGCCATAGAAAGAGCTGATGCGGATGAGACAAGCAAACGTCTGACGAAGAAGCAGGTGGGGGCATAGCGGAATAACCGGCTGTCGCTTCAGCCTAAGCCATGTGTTGAGGATAGCCGGTGCATACACCACATAATGGGTCGAAAACCTGGACACGGACGATGCGGAGAACAACCTCGCGGTGTTTTCTTGCACGTGCCAGCTGATGCGACAGACCACAGACCGGTGGTCTGCCCCGTGGTCTGTGGTCCAGCACTGCGGTGTCGTCAGCGGCGGTGAAGCCCTGCCGGATTAGTAGGTCTCTGCTGCGCCGCCCAATGTACCTACCGCCGCGCCTTCCTGGCACCACAGCCTTATCTCAGCGGAGCCCACGTGACCTCGTCAACACCTCCCCTCCCCCACGTGGTGTCAAGTCCTCGATACAAAAACACCGCGACACAGCAATCGCATCAGCATGAACACCACGCTGGGACAGCTGTCAGCGGGCCTAGCGTGGTGTTGATGTTCATCAAGCGCCTACCGAGTGCACTGGTGCGCATCAGTGGTCTCTGCCCCGAGGCGAAACAGGAGGTCACGTGTGCGTGGACGGCCGCTCCCCAACGTAATATGGCCCACCAGAGCCGAAAAGCGCCGAGGACATGCGTTTCCTAAGCGACGCTTCCAAGCGGTGCAGGACGCGTCCTTGGCTTGGCTAGCCGACGGCGCGTGACGCTGCGATAGTCGGCGGCGACGGAGGTCAGTGACTGGCTGGAGGTTCAGGTCGCCCTGCCTCAGCTGTCGAGCGTGTCTGACTTGGTCGGCTCCAGCCCACGACAGTCAGCCGGTGGTCGGGAGCGCAATGGGCACATGACGGCCTTCCTGTTTCTGGTCGGTTTGTGGGTTTCACGAACGTATCGATGTGCTCGGCGCAAGGGTGTATATTACGACCGCGAAAATATCCAAAGTTTTGCCACCACAGCTATCGAATATGCACACATGAGGTAGTGTTCGCGACGAATTGATACGCTACATACCATCCATATTTGTCTAAAAGCATAAGCAACATCCGCATGTGATTGCCTTGAGCACCTTGCCTTTACGCATCCCAGCAGCCCCACGGAACGGAAGAACACGTTAGATCCTCCAAACTACAGACATCTCCTCACCGGTCGACCTCCCCCCCCCCCCCACCTCCTCCCCCGCGCGGTCCCGTGACCGTGACCGGGTCAGCTGGCGGCGGACGGCTGGTGGTGCCGGCCAGTGAGGTAATGCCGCCAGGGGGCTGCCCGCGCAACCCGCCCGGGCCGCGGTGTGACCCAACCGAGCGGCGGCCTTCTCACGCCCCGGCGCCGGCTGACAGCGGCCGCGGCGGCGGGGGGGAGGGGGGGAGGGGGAGGGGCGCCGGGGCCAGAGTGGTGCCGAGGGCTCCACAGAGCAGGTGGACGTGACGGCGGATAGAGCGGTTGTGAACGACGGTTGTGATGATTGACGGCATTTGAGCGGCATGACTGCGATGAGGATTTTGTCGTTGATCAAATGTTTGATGAGCCCTCCCCCCCCCCCCATCTGTTTTCCGTCGGTGCAGCTCTCTAAGAATTTGGTTGCATTTATTTGCATAGCTAGATTGCTACTTGCTGCTGAGAAAGATGAAATATTGTACAACTCACAAGCCACATTAATAGTTTGTGTTTGGTCGTGAGGCTTACGCGAGCAGGTGGCCCCATCATCAGTCAATGAAAAATATCCTTATACCGCAATTTTTTCTTTAACTTCTGTGAACGGTGTTGCGAGACATGCCAACCAATACCTGACTTACTAATGGACAAGAGCTTTATTTTTTTAATAAGATAAAAGTATAACACGATTCCATCGGCGCTCTTCACTGCAGTCCCTGGTCGAAAACCACTTGGACTTGCTTGTTCATGTTCTTGTTACATGCTTAATATCAAGGTTCGCACGTCGCACCTGCGCCAACCATCGTCATCTCTTTGGGCACTGGTCTGGCGTCGCACCGCTCACACCGCATGAGGTATGACCTCACCGGTCACACGGAGTGAGGGGTCACGGCGCTGGGGCAGTAAGGGGTCAAGGACACACGAAGTGAAGGGTCACGGCACTGGGGTGGTGAGGGGTTAGAGTTACACGGAGTGAGAGGTTGTGTGGGGCGTCAGGGCTACACGCGGTGAGGATTAACGCGCTCGCCCGGTGGCAGACACTTCTTTATTTACCTCTGCAGGAAGAGTCGCTTACAAATGGGTTGTAACTGTGCGCCACTCCAATAGCTGCACCATCAAACATCGCTGTCATCACTAAAAGTAACGATGCAAATCGCGTTGTACGATGGCTATGACGTTTATTTGTCGGCTGGAGGTTCCACTCCGCACAGTGTATGACAGCGGCTGTCGTTCTCAGCGGTGGCCAGCCAGCTCGGGGAGTCACCGGCGGCGGAGCTCGCGCTGCCGCCCGCCAGCGCCGACCCCAGCGACTACGAGGAGCTGTTGACCTCGGTCAGCGAGCTGGGCGCCGCCGCGCCGGCCGGCGCCAGCACCGGCACCAGCGCTGCTGACCTGCGCTGGATGCTGGTCACTCACTCGCGCCGGAAGCGCAATGTGGTGCAGCTGGGCGACATGATGAAGTGCGCCACCGGCTGCAGTCCCATCGCCTACAAGGGCTACGGCTGCTACTGTGGCTTCCTCGGCTCGGGCCGCGTGGTGGACGGCATCGACCAGTGAGTATCGCTCCGTCGCGGGGCTTTTGGGCCGTCGCTGTCGCACCAGAGTACCGTGCCGTTGTGGGGCGTCCTGAGCCGTCGCTGTCGCACCAGAGTATCGCGCCGTCGTGGGACGTCTTGGGCCGTCGCTGTCGCATCACCGCCTGCGGGATTTCTTCACGCTGATTGGGTTGCCGTAATCTAATCTGCTTGGATGACATCTCGTGTACACGGATATCCAAGGGTAACCAAGTCCTCCTGAAAGACAATGGAAGTACGGATCTCGCCGTACCCAGTATTGGACCTGGCCGTATGCTACCGTTGAATCGAAAATTTTCGCAGCTGATGAACACCATAAAGGTGGGTACCAAGCGAGACATGTGCGTGACCACACAGCCGTCATGGGGCATGGAGTCAGGCAGCGTGCAAGCAACCATGCAAAAGACACGTCACGTAGTCACGTGGTCGACTCTGTGGGCAGCCATGCGAGGCAACCGCACTGGTCGTTTATACAGTACTAGGTCGAGTGTTCCCAGGCACCCCATTTTCGCACGTCCGCCCGCTGGGATCGGCCGCGTCTCATTTGTGACTGTACGGGTGGCTCTGCTGTTAACGCCACGCCGGTGTCCATCGGGCCCGTTCTTGCCCGTCAGGCTCCGCCGGGCTCGTTCCTGTCATGTCCGTACACCAGCCGTCCCCAGAGACGGCCGGACACTGGCCGTCCCCAGTCGTTCTCGTCAAGGCCAGACACCAGCCGTCCCTAGCCGTTCTTGTCGTGGCCGGGCACCGCCGTCCCCAGTCGTTCTTGTCACGGCCGGACACCGCCGTCCCCAGTCGTTCTTGTCACGGCCAGATACCAGCCGTCCCCAGTCGTTCCTGTCACGGCCGGACACCGCCGTCCCCGGTCGTTCTTGTCACGGCCAGATACCAGCCGTCCCCAGTCGTGATTCAGCTGGTTATGAAATGCTGCAACGCTATTCGTGTGTTCGCTTTCAGCGCTGTTTCTGCATACACTGCATAGATAATGATACCATTCGCAAGGGCGCTTGACTTTGACGCTTGCTGTGTATGCGAGTGGCATCGCTTCGCTGTGCTTGCGCATTATCCGTACTGAGGATCCTCGTGCTCAAGGACGTTACCTAACTTCAGTACAAGCAGCTAGCTCACTGCTCTCCCAGTGACTAAGAACGCGCAACATTCCTCCCTGGTATGGCACGGAATCAAGCATCGCTTTAAATTGTGCAGGCTTGCACTTTAATTGTCGGAGGTCGGCTGGACTGCACCAGTGGTTTCCAAATGTCACCGCAAGTTGTCGAGGTGATAACTTGTCATCGCTTCATTGCGACACATTTATTGCTGGTAATTTTCCCTGTCTGTAATAATCGCATACCTGCGCCGTGCAATCGTTCTAATATATTTACATAATGCCACTTGTGCATGGCGAGGTGATGACATTTCCTCGTTCAGGCGAGTGACTGTGAGGCTTGGCAGCCTACCGGGTTGGCAATCCGGCAAGGGTCTTTGCAGTGACGGTCAATAATACAGTGCAGGAAGCCATCCAGGGCCAGGCGCGGCAGCGGCCATGCAGCAGGTTTTATGTCTGTGAACCATGCGAACGATACATTTGCGCTCCCGTTTGGCTACAAGACAGAAAGAAAACTGACGTTCGAGTTGTGACGTCAGTGTTTGGGTGGTGTGATCAGGATGTTATGATTGGCAGGCACCTAGACTGAGTCCGTGGCTGTCGACGTAGAACCAAACGCGCTGACCAAAAAGGAACTTAGACACTTAGATGAAGTGTGGGCAAAACGTGTGGTAGTTAATCAGAATCATTGCTGAATAGAGGTCCCGCTGAAAAATACAGCTCAATTAGGGGTTGGGGAAATTATCTGACGATCTATGTAATTAAGACGAAGCATTGCCCTACCACGAGGCACACGCGTGCCCAGACCTGCCACTGCCATGAGCACCCTGTCTACACTCAAACGCTCCCAGCGCACGCCAGGCGCTTCTAACCGGCCTCCGCCCAAACGCTCGGCCCGAGCAGCGTCAACCGACGGTCTCAGCGCTTGGCCGCGCCGTTCTGACCCAGCCGCTGCTTCCAGCTGCTGCTACGAGCACGACTGGTGCTACTGGCGCGCCAACCACTGCTTCACTGACCCATTCGGTGTCTCCTTCTATGTGTCCCGTTACAAGTGGGTGTGCCAGGACGGCAAGCCCGCCTGCGGTGAGTTCCGCCCCCGCCCACAAGGTCGCGCAAGGCCGCCGCGACCTTCCCCGCGAGGACGCTAGGTGGCAGCAGGGGCGGCCGGCCGCGCACTGCCTGCCGCCCGCTTCACACGCATGGCTTGGCTGACGGTTGTGGGCGCTGATTGGGCGGCTGGGGGCGTTGCGATGGTTACGCATCAGGCTGACAGGTGCGGTCGTCGGGCGGTGCTTCGGTGGTCTCGCTGAGGGAGGCCTGCGGAGCAGCGACGCGACGGAGGCGGACGCGTGACCGACTGCCGGCGCGACCCAGCCGGGGGCGCGTGTCACCGTGACATGACGCCGGTCACTTGACACGTGACCGTCTTAAGGTACCACCTGGCGCATGGAGAGGTCCGAACCTTCTGCAGGCTACAAACCACGTTTCATCGAAAGAATGTGTTCCGATCGACGCTGAGATAAGTATAAGTTATTCCACCGGAGATATGCAGCAACGAAAGAGCCCCGATTGAGGGCCAAGACAATATATTCTTAACACAAAAGATAAGAGGTTGGTTAGGATGCGCGTTGAACGCATACGCATCAGTCCAAGCAATGTTTTCCTCGTTTAAAAAAAAAACGTTCCAGCGCGACACAATCTCCGGCCAGTCACAACAGACTGGTCTTCGTGTGAGATCCCGACTCACCTGACCTCTCTGCCGGCTCAGATCTGGGCAGAGCGTACGGGTCCCGCGAGTGTACCGGCAGCCACTGGAGCTCCCGACCCTGCTGGCCAGCCCTCCTCCCATCGCGGCTCCGCTGGCCAGCCGTCCTCCCCTCCCGGCTCCGCTGGCCAGCCCTCCTTCCCTCCCGACCCTGCTGGCCAGCCCTACTCCCCTCCCGGCTCCGGTAGCCGGCCTCCTCCCCTCCCAACCCTGCTGGCCAGCCCCACTCCCCTCGCGGCTCCGCTGGCCAGCCGTCCTCCCCTCCCGGCTCCGCTGGCCAGCCCTCCTTCCCTCCCGGCCCTGCTGGCCAGCCCTCCTCCCTCCCGGCCCTGCTGGCCAGCCCTCCTTCCCTCCGTCGGCTCCGCTGGCCAGCCGTCCTCCCCTCCCGGCTCTACTGGCCAGCCCTCCTCCCCTCCCGGCTCCGCTGGCCAGCCTCCTCCCCTCCCGGCTCCGCTGGCCAGCCCTCCTTCCCTCCCGGCCCTGCTGGCCAGCCCTTCTCCCCTCCCGGCTCTGCTGGCCAGCCGTCCCCCCCCCCTCCCGGCTCTTCTGGCCAGCCCTCCTTCCCTCCCGGCTCCGCTGGCCAGCCCTGCTCCCCTCCGTCGGCTGTCGTGGCCCCACGCTGCTCGTTCACTGGTCCCGTGCTCGGGTCGGCGACCGGGACGTGGTGCGGGGCAAGCGCCTCGCCAATCGTTTTGTTTTGACTCCGCACTCCAGCATTGTGCCTCCCGACCGCGGCCCCGGGGTCTGAACCAGCTCCCGTCCACCCCGTCGAACAGCGTTAGCGATCATGGCGCGCGGGGGCGGGGCGGGGGTGGGGGGCGTTGGCCGGGACGGCGGCTGTGGCATTGACCTCTTCCCGCGGGGAGGCGGTGGGGTTGTGCCCGGCGTCTCGGGTCTAACGAAAGAGTGAGAGGTGGGCAGGTGGATGATAGCCATTTGACTGATGTTTTGGAATCTGGTGGTCCAGAGGGTAACTGTTTTTGCTTGTGCTCGCAGCGAGTTTCTCTGTTCACGAATGTGTGATGAAAAAGCAAGACTAAAGAGTTTTTTTCGCCCGCGCTGTACCTATGTTTTCCGGCCTCTTTCACCACCGTGGTAGGGAGTCCAATTCGCTGTCGGCTGCTCCAAGAGAAGATCAAAGAAACAGGCTATCTGTCGTCAGAAGAAGCTCCCATTATGTCTGCACGGGCCCTTTATCGGCAGAAATCCGCTGAAGGGTGATGGTCGATGCCTACGCCACCACGAAATGGCTGTCGCCGGCAGGAGCAGTGAAAGCCACCGCCAATAATCATGCTGCCTTGGCGATTCCTAGGTGTCGTCTGCAGTATTCTGCAGTGTTTGGTCATTGTCGGGGATCAGGTCAGGTGAAACAAGTCCGCACAGGATTTCGTAACGAGATCGCCAAATGCAAACCGTTTTGTGCGAATGAAGCAGAGGTGTCACCAGGCATTCTTGCCTGAGCTGACGCCTAATGACCAGCAAATAGGTGCTCTTGGAGAAAGAGGATGATAAACTGACCAATTGGGGGCCAAACTGAAGACCGCGGGTTCATCTCCATTGACAGGTTTTTCGCAAGATTCTCCCTAGACCCTCCAGCCTCTCTCGCTCTTTCTCCATTGCCGACACTTTAGATACGACTGCGAAACCTCCTCGTTTCGCAAGGCGGGTAAGCCCCGCCAGATGCCCCGCCGCCGAGGGACTCGAGAGTCGCCTAGCCTCCGCTGGCTGGTGGGGGAGGGTTCGGGATACAGATCCGCACGGCACGCTACAGGCCACACTGTGCCAAGGCGTCTGGTCTCCGCTGACCGGTGGGGGAGGGTTCGGGTTACAGATCCGCACGGCACGTTACTCACCGCATCGTGCCAAGGCTGCTGCCGTTCCGACCGCGCGCTCGGACCATGACCGCAGAGAACGCTGAATATGGACAGCCTTGAGCGTGAAGAAGGTAACGGCTCAGCAAGAGCGGCCAGGCGCTGCGCCCGGCCTCTTAAACAGCGGGCTGAGGCTTGGTGGTTACTGGATAAGCCGGCACATAAACATGGCTCGTGGGTGCTGGCCTTGGCCCAGACCCGACCGCCGAGGCTTGCTCGCTGATAACAAACCAGGCATGGGGCAGACCGGAATCAGCGCAGCTAATCATGGCGTTTGTTTGTTCCCATGTGTGTGGTGCGGCGAGCAAATGCTTGTGTAGCACCATGACAGCGCAAAATTTAGCCCAGCGAGGTAACGACGTCCCTCCCGTGATCGCACTAGTCCTCGCGAAATACCAGGCTGACGCCCTTGATGGCATTGCCATAAGTCACAAACGCGCGTTTGTGTAAGCGTGGCGTTCGATCATCCGCTGTAGCATTCCAATCATCAAAACCTCAGAATGTGTAATGGACTGAACATGCCATTATTGGCCAAAATCATCTTACGACCTCACATATTGACCACGCCATGCTCTCAGCCCGTCATGGCTTGGCTGCGTCGACCAGCAACCCATGGGGGCTATGCACATGGCCGCCGCTGCAAATAAAACCGTTAATAGCTCATACGACCACCAGCCACAGGCGGAACGCTGCGGACGCTCAGCGTGCTCGCCACGGGGCAGAATTTGATGACGGCACAAGGACGGACGGCACATGAACGGACGGCACGGGAACGGACGGCACGGGAACGGACGGCACAGGAACGGGTGGCACAGAGACGGACGGCACAAAGACGGACGGCACAAGGACGAACGGTACACAAACGGGTGGCACAGAGACGGGCTGCACAGGAATGGACGGCACGGGAGCAAACGGTGCAGGGACGGACGGCCCAAGGACGGGCTTCACCGAAGCACAGATCTGCAGACCGACTCAGTCGCAAGCCTCGCGTCAGGCAGCTTTTCGATCGAGGCATGTGACCGGGTGCCACCACCAGGCGGGCAACCACGTGACCCCTGATCACACTGAGTAGCCTCTGGTGACCTCAGGTGACCTCTGATCTCGGGGCTAACCGGGGCCGGCCGGCCTCATTGCAGATGTTGCTACTTGCACGATAGATGCTACCAGCAGACCAGGTGCGCCAGCCTGTTGCAGTATTTCGTCACCTACCCCTGGCACTGCGCTGGTAGCCTACCTCGCTGTCACGGTGAGTGGCCACGCGGAGTGGCGTTGGCGGGGTGCCGCAGTCGAGGCTTTGATTCGACATGCTCAGTCACATAGGACCACCGCTGGTCCAAGACCCCGCTTTTCACGCGTCTAACTCATTGTAAACGTGGTTATCAACATCCCTCTGGGTCAATGATTTTCACACACCACTAGCAGCTTGGCAGTGGCAGTGGAAGTGGGTTTGCAGATTCGCAAACCACAGTGCCCCGATGCCACTGACAGAAAAACCACACAGGTTCGTATCGCCCGTGCAGCTAAGGTACGCAATCATTATCGGGCCTGATTCGTGCACCACTGCAGAGTGGAAAACGGCCGAAACCGATCGTTAGTTCCTGGAGCGTGGCAGCTATTTCACACACGCCTGATCAGTTAGTGTGACGTGCGCTTTTCAACAGGTGTTACAAAAGAGCGTGACGTTATGGAATAAGCCGAACCGCAAACGAGTCAGTATTGCTGGCAGAGCTCCATCACTAAGGTGTCACGCCGTTGCAAGTCATTTCTGTGGTTATTGTGGGCGATTGTCACGGTCAAGTAGGTGCACATCGATTTATGTAAAGCTGCGCAAAACGGCTGCATGAACTGCGTGTCTCATGGTCCTACGAGCAATAGTTCGTGGGTCTGTACCGGCACACTGCTCAAACGAAGACACAGGGTAGTTCCCGGAGTTCACCCGGTTGGAAAGGCCGTGCGATCTCAACTTCTGTTATCTTTCCGCGATCAATCTCAACATCCCTCTCAACGGCTGGCGGAGTGTAATCGAAGACTTTTCAAACGCGTCGCATGAGTAATGAAATGAAGCATGCCTCTCATAATATCACGCGCTTGGCATGATTTGCGTGGACGAATGGCTTGCTTTATGTTGCGCAAGGCATGCCCGCATGTGCCAGCTGTCGCTGGTTGCACCCTCCCGCGCCCTCTGCAACAGCTCGACACTGACACAGCCAGAACAGCAGTGGCGTCACCGCCGTGTCGATGTCGCGAAGCGGTAATGGAACCGTGACGCTCCGCGCGCCATGACGGCTTCTTCAGTGACCATTCCTCCCGCGCCGCTTCTCCGGCGAGGGTCTGTCACGCAGTGGCTGCCCCAGTGACAATTCCCTCCAGTGACTAGTCCTCCGGTGACGTCTGTCGGTGACGTAACAGCGCTTTCACTGACGACACACTAGCGGCGGCTCCTCCAGCGACTGGCCACCTCACGACGGCTCCTTCAGCGACTCATCGTTGGCATCGTTGTCACGCTTTCTGCGAGCTCCTCAATGACATCCCTGCGACTGCTGAAGTAATTCCTGGTTCCTTTGATCAGGACCCTTCTCACAAAGTATGACGTTCTTATCAAGACTCACGGGACAGGTATGTGAACCCTGTAACACCGTCTCCAGCCCTTTCTGCACAGGTTCACGTAAAAGCTTCTGTGACCTATCGAATACAGAACGGCTTGGACGCTCTTATGAACGCTGCTGTGCAACGTTAAAACTTTCGTGAGGTTTTCCGCCACAAGGAAAGCCACGCTTGTCGGCGTCGGCCTAACTCGACCGGCGACGAGCTAGAGCTGGCTTTGCATGGCTGGTGAAGGGCTGACCAATTCGATGTCGCGTAGGTACGCCGCTCGCTGCCGTACTCTGTCGTGTTTAGAACGAAAACGTCTGAAAGGCAGGCGTCCTTCCTGAGGCTCTGTGCTGACGGTAGTGTTTTACACTTCGTTAGGACAATGTAAATGATCTACTTTTCTTCGCTCATGTTCGTTATCCTTGGCCCCCGCTGTCACATCAAACACCAAAACATAGCCTTTCGTGTCTATCACTTGACTTTGTTTTCCATTTGCCCAGAAGAGGTGGCTTGCTTTCACTCTTAATTTCATCTTTCCTGTACTCCGTTGAATAAAACGATGCCCTGAGGGCTGGCGGGAAACCCGCTTAATGTCAAATTAAATTCAAAATCCGTAAAATGACATGCGAAAAGTTTCTGCACAAGCTTCGCAGAAGCCGGGTCGGGCCGCTGTTGCTAAATACAGTCCATCTGCCAATTGTTAATGCAGCTCACCCTCTGATCCGTGTTTGATGTGCTCTTTGCTGTATTTATGTTCAAGCATTGACGCCTAGCCCTTCCTTAAGTGTAGTTCGCAAAATTACCATAGCTGGTTACTTGGCGCATTAGCTCCCCAGACAAGCGATCGCATTGTGTTTGGCTTTCGTATTATTGGTTCGGGCCGTGGTTAGCATATTATTTGTGATCACAGCTATGGTGTGCATCTCCGCGATTATCCATCCCTTTATTGTCGGTTTCTTCCAGGTTGCCGTGGTCACTGCCTCTCCTTCCTGGCCCGACCGTCCCTGCCTCCGGTCGTGGTCGCCGTGATCTTGTTCCTCCTCTCTGGCCTGTCTTACCCGGTCTCCGGCCCCTGGCCAGCGTATCTCCGCCGCCCCGACATTTCGTCTGAAGCCGTGTCCGGTTTCAGTGGCCGGCTCGGGCAGCGCGTGTGCGGGCCAGCTCTGCGAATGTGACCGTCAGTTCGCCAAGTGTCTGCGTCGCTACCCGTGCCCCACCAGCCGGCCCGTCTGCGCCAGCTCGCCACTGCGCCACTGGCAGAACCTCTTCCTCGGTCTGCGCAAGGCCATGCCGTACCACAACCGGCTCGACAACAGTTACGAGGCCTTCGGCGGCGACAGCTTCGAGAACGACTACTTCCGGTAGTCGGCGGCAGATGGCCAGCCGGCGGACGTGAACCACTGTGTGGCATCCGAAAACTACTGTATCCGATGGCCGGTGATAGATGGCGTGCGGAAAGCCGCGGACGAGAAGACGCCCGGGAAGCGCTGTGTGGTCGTGACGGCGTCTCACAAGACGAACATTGAAAAGCGTACGCTTCTGTCGGACCGTGAGCCCACCGGTGCCAATTTTGCAATGGGAGAGAGGGAGAGAGGCCGCAGTCCATGTCGGATTATCGATGACGTGTTGGCCACGGCGTCGATGACATTCTGGTCCCAGTATTTCTCAGTACATGCCGTCTATGCGGAAGAGCGAAATCTTCCGCGCTGTTGGGACACGACAGCGCGTGTGCCCCGGTTACCTCATACAGACGGCTAACTGACCCACGCGTATCGCAATGTCGTTTGGTCTTAAACATTGCACAAAGCGGCGACCCTAGAGCGCAGCACGTTTGCGAGAAGGGCGAATGTTGACGCCCTGTGTGTCGGGTTACATAAGGCACGGATTCGGGCTTCGTGTCCCCGGGTGGGTCACGGGAAACCTGCCTTGGTGCGCCACGGCAGTGCAGCGCGCTAGCGATGGTTACCCAGAACGGTGTTCCTACAATAGCATGTGGTTTGTTCGCGGCGTCGCCTTAACAGCGCGCCAGTTTCCTGTGTACACGGGTGACCGTTTCGTGTTCGCGTTGTGGCGTCGCGCGTCCGTTCTGCGAGGTCTACGGCTGGAACGGCCGCCAGCTGTGCAGCCCTCTCTCTTAGCGAGCAATTCTCAACGGCTCGATGCGATCCTGGCGTCGTGTTGAGAACATCTCGCAGCGAGCAGTTCTCAACAGCTCAATGCGTTCGAATGCGGTGCTACCCGAGCGCTCCTGCCTGCGCGTCTGCTGTGAATACGTACTGCAATGTCAAGCCACTCGAAGTTAAGTGTGCATGCAGTTGTGTGCGGTTCCGTGCGATGACTGGGAGTAGACGGTCGATGAGGAGACTTGATCATAAGGTTTAGTAGCTTACAAGAGCGGAAGATCGAAGGAATAGCATACGTGTCATCCCGAACTTTACCGCTTATCCCACCGTCTTGTCCGTTCCAGTAACGGCGTTTCAAACTGTATGTGTGCTAACTGTAATTAACCCATCGCTAGGCCCGTGTTGCTCACCGCGGTTCGAATTCAATACTCCGCCTCTGTGCAGGACACCGCGCTGGTCAGCGCCCAGCGGCCGTCCGCGAGCCGCTGGCAGCGCCTGCTGGCCAGACTCGAGCTGACCAGCACCCGCGGACGCGCCGTGCCGGGCGTGAGCGGCCGCCAGCAACCCTACGCATCGTTCAAACCCGTGTTAGCATGTAATTCCGTGTACACTACCGCGCTAGTGAACTCAACGGCGAGCAGGTGATTCCGATCGAATCAGAGCGAGGGCGTACCTCCTAGCAGCTAAGAGGATGTTGTTGAACGCGTGATTCCAATCAAACCCCGGCACCAACGTTTCCTTGTTGAGCGCATACCCTGCGCGTGCCAGTGAGTCCTGCGCGGCGCGCATGCCGGTGCGTGTGACCCGCCCCGCGCGGGCGGGCCGGCCCGCCGCCGCCGGGCACATTGTCGTGTTATGTCTTTCACGAGCCGGACCGCGGGTCCCCGCGGCCGGGCCTCAGTACAAACGTCCCTCCTGCCATACCGGGTCCAATACACGCCCGGAGACGAGCGCAGCCTGTTTGTCACGGGATGAAGGACACTGGAACGTTTCGGACGCACGCGCACGCGGGTGAGGACGAGGAGCGACCAGCGCTCGGACGAGGCGAGGACAGCCGGCTCCTCAAAGCAGCGGTGGGTAAGGTTGACAACCGCGCCCATAATCCGTCCTCTTGACCACACCTCGCGGGCGTGTATAATCCGCCTGAACTTCGCCATGCACAGAAGCGGAGGAGACCTATGTACGTTTTAGAGCGCCATCACGGCATTATCCCCATGGTTGACGTTGGCACAGCTCTAGGCGGTCGGACCAAACGGAATTTGGCGACAGCACAGTCACCCTTGGCCCATCGTGCCCCACTCAGCGCCCCCCACCGGTGCGTCAGCCGACGGAGCGCGGCCTCGTAATCTGTATTGTATAAATAGAAGAAATGGACACCGTGCTCTCGCGAACAGGGACGCGGCGCCGAGGGCGAACGCCAGAACACGAATAAAACACCAGCGGCGCGGCGTGGCGGCGACCGGAGCTTCGGCCGCTGGGTCGCGGGCGCCCCGCCTCCCGACCGGGCGGCCGGGTCACGCGGCGCGAGCCGGACCTCAAGGGCGACCGGCACGACAGCCGATAGTCAACGACACATGGCGCCGCGCGTGGCAATGCGGTGACCGGTGACGCGCGTCCCCAAGCGGCGTCACCGAAATCACCGACGTCACGGGACTTGGTGTCGCGCGGCTCTCGCGGACCGCCCGGCGCCAGTCGCCCCTCGGCCGTCATTACACGCGTCTCGCCGCGCTCCGACAGCGGTTCGCGCGCGTCCCAGGGGCGAGTCAGCGCGGGTCCGGCCGCGCCGCCGCCGCCGCCGGACGCCGGTGCCGGCCGCGCTCACCGCTGTCGCTTGGCGGCCGGCGGCGGCATCAGGTCGTGGTCCGGCCGCCGCTTGGCCTGGTCGCGGATGAAGGAGAGCAGCATCTCGCGCGTCACCGGGTGCTGGATCGTGTTGCAGACGGCTGCCGGAGCGGGCTGGCGTGAGCGGCGGCGCAGAGGACGCGGAGGGGGAACGTGACACGAGCCGAGGGCTCGGAACAGAACGTACATCGGGCCGGAGATGAAGCCTGGTCAGCAGCGACATTTGGCGAGAGCCGAGGTCAAATGACAGCTGATTTTAAACCTGGCATGGGGCGAGTACAGGGACTTCGAAAACGCTTCTGGATAATGTAAAATTCTGTTTCTGAAGGCGCCATCCTCAGTCATGGAAGACGCTTCACGATAAGAGCACGAGCAATACCATTCCGGCGACTCAGACTCTCAAGATTTAGCAACGCAACACGTCATTCATAGACCTCAGCTCTGCTGCGGGCAGGTCTTGGCAAAAGCGGACCACGAACGTGGGAGCGTCCCAGGCGGCGTCGACAGCTAAACGCCTGATGCGCCGCACGCCTTCACTCCGTCCCACCGCGTACTCACATTTGGCCGTCTCGAAGCCGTTGGGAAAGCTCTTGTCTGTCCGCTCGCGCATGAACACCCACTGGTTCTTCTCGTAGGTGCACTCGATGATCTTGCCGTTCAGCTCGCGCAGCTCCTTGGTCACCTTGATCTTGCCGAACGGAGACTGCAGCGAGCCCACGTACAGCATGCCCACCTTTCTGGGCAGCATCCTGGGCGGCGCGAGCCGCGGTCAGGCGCTGGGCCGAACACCAGACGTGGCACGACACCGCCAGTGACGTAGGCGAACCGGACACACGGCAGCGGCGTGCGCCGATCCTCGATCATGATCGGGGACCGATGCCGATGCCGGTGAATTGTTTCTCTCCAAGGATCAAATGTTGAGGTAAAACACACGCACGCTTTATTTCCGAATGCAATGCAAGAGGGTAAAGGTTGAGCTGGTACCCAGTTATCTCACAATGGTACCTCGAAGTTTCTATACGAGTCGAGTTGTGGAACGGCATGCTTCCGAGAGCGAACAACAATCGCCCACGGGTCTGTGATACGGGGTTGCCCCGCCTCTTATAAACACTCACCCCTCGCCGCCCTCGTTCACGATCTTCAACTTGAAGTCGACCGAGTTCTGCGAGGCGGGCTTCCACTTGAGCACCATGTCACAGCGGCCGGGCACGTACGGCTGCCGGGGAGGGGGCGAGGTCACGACAGTCCTCACTCACCGGCACACGGGGCGCCGGGCGTGCGGGGCCCGCCGGCAGAAGCGTCTTACCCAGCAGTGCAGCGCGCTACACAGCCTCCGCGCCGTCTCTGAGCCGCACGTCACGTCCCCGCGAGTGGCGACTGATCTCGTCCCTTCCCACGGGCACTCTGACCTCGTCAATCTGATCCCGACCCCGTCCGCGCGGCCAGCGGCCCTCCCCGGCGGCGCTCCGTGAACCGATCGGACACGGCCGCCCTGACCCCACCGCACCGCACTGCACGCCGTCCCACGCCACCCGCGCCGCCCGAGCCTCACGTCGTTGAGCGGCTGGAAGATGAGTCCGTCGGGCTCGTGGCCCAGTGACCGGCAGAACTTGTCGCTCAGCAGGCTGTGCGTGTGAGAGAGGTCCCAGAAGTCCTTGGCGCGCACTGAGAACGGTTCGCTGCCCTTGGCCAGCCGGCCCGCCTCGGCCGCCGTGTGGCGCGCGTCGATGATCTCCTTCTGCCGGGCACATCGTTCGCGGTGTGTTACAGTTTGCGCGAAGTTATGCCACGTGCTCTATCTCTAGCGCACAACATCCATCTGGCAATGCTTGCTCTCGCCGCTCGCCCGTCGTTCTGGCTGTCCGCCGTTCCGACGTGCGCCCAATGCTACCAGTACATCGACATCAGGCACATTAGCTCAACACGCAGAACGGAGGGCACATGTCGGACACATGTCACATGGACACATGTCGGGCACATGTCCGTGTGTCAAATGCAAACGCACAAACAAATCATCTACAAGCGCCTGGCTATTCTCGCACCACATATCGTGGAGAGTAGGTGTAACACAAGGACATGTCGAGATTGCATCGGGCACGAACAACAAGACTGGGTTTGCGGAGGCAGGTGCAGAGGGCAACAGACGTTGCCATGACAGCGGCATGGCCTTGAAACAGGAGCGCCCTGGGCGCCACCAGCAGGCAGACCCGTCGCAGTCTGCCTCTCTGGCAGGCCCACGTACCAACAGGCCGTTGATCGCGCCGCGCGTGGCGCGAGTCAGGGAGCGAAACGGAGAGGAACGGAACAGAACGAAACGGGGCGGAAACGAACGGAACGGAACGGGCAGAACGGAACGGGCAGAACGGAACGGTTCTGTAAGCACGGTTCTGCAAGCACGGATGATCCGCGCAGCGTGCCAGATGCAGAGAACAGGACGGCAGGCGTCTCAACCCACCTTCTCCATACAGGTACATCGGATGACAGCGAACGTTGCCAACCGACTCAACGAACCTCGCACAACGGCAAGGCGGAGCGGACGTTCGCACTGGCTGCCACCGGGGGCGCCACGGTCGGCAGGCCGAGCCCGTCCCGTACCCGTATGCAGGTGAGGCGCGTGTCGAAGCGGGTCTTGCCCACCTCCTCGCCGCGGAACCGGATGACGTCGTACACCAGGAACCGCGGGTGGTCCTCGCCGTTGATGCGGTCGATTACCATCTCCTGCGGGGCGGATGGCCGTCGTGAGGTCGGGTTCGATTCCCGTCGCGGGATATTTTCGCTGGCGCCGTCCAGCAGGGTGCGGTCACACCCTCGGGCTGGGCAGCTAAAGGTGTCGGGAATCGATCCAACCACGTGTATCGCGCCGTGCTAATTGGAAGTCATTTATCGGCGCATTAGTATCCAATCCATCACCAGAATCGTCACACGTTAGCCCAAAATGCCATCAAGGCCATCGCCGCGGCTCAGCTGGCGGCGAGCGGAACACGTGACCATCGTAGTCGAGGCATGCGGGCACGGGTCCCAGGAGCTGTCATTCGTCTATGACGCCCGATTAATGCGTGTTAGAAAGTCAGGTTGGCACAGGGCAGGCGTGCTACCGCATTATATGGTGCGTTTGAGTAT